TATTTAGGTGTTTGATTCATGAGTTGCTATTGTAAAGTCTGTAGTCTTTTGGTGTCAAGTAATGTGCATCAATATTTTAGGAGAGATGGAATAATATTATAGAGAATGAAAGAACTAGGAATCGCAATAATTATGACCACAACTATATATTCTTCTCGTCTATTTTTTATTGTTATTTTACTAGAAAAGTTTGTCAGTCTAAGGATAAGGTAGTTATAGATGATGAGATGTATTACATCACAAGTGATTGATCACCTATGAACATTTTTGGAACACCTAAATAATGAATGGAGTTTCATCAGTTTTGTGGGGAGTTTGAAGCTAGACATGCAATTGACTATGGAGTAGAAATAGCCTCCTAGGGTTAATTTGTCATATTTTATAAAAAATTTTGAGTTTTAACATGTAATTATTGCATCATTTCTCTTCATTCCTCTCAGTTGGATGACTTTTTTGCTGAGTTGGAGCACGACCCATAAAGGTCTTTCAAGTAAAGAATAAGATTTTTAGAATGAAGGGCAAGTTATGGATGTCATCTTTGAGTTATCTTCATTATACTTTTTGTTGTTCATGTTGACTCCCTTATGGTTAGACATTTTTTTGACCTTCTTGTTTTACCTTGACAATCTTAAACCTATGGATCTTGCAAAATTTAATATTAATATTCATGGTTTTCATCATGCAACTTATTAGTTCTCAATATTTTCTTAAATTTTTTTTAAATACTAAAAACATGTATTAATCACCACTTTCAAAAGAAAATCTCATTATCAATGAAGTGAGAATTGTCTCTTTCATTTATAAAATTAATAAAACAATCACATCCTCTACTTCTAAAATAAGCTAGTTAAATTAGATAACAGAGTTGGTAGAACACTGACACTCAATTCCTATCTAATTTAAGTTAATACACTTTTATTTCAAACTTTAGCTTCTCTCACGAATATGCATAATGGTTGTAAATATAAAAAATTACTCAAAATATAATCAGAGTATCACTTACCCTTATTAAGATATCCGACTATATTAAATAATCATGAGTTATACTTATGACTATTTACCATGAAAGATTCTTTATACTCCTCAATCTAGGACTTTTCAATAATTTATTATGTATTCTTATTTTCATAAATAAAGTATATATTATTAGTGCTTAAAACATTACCAATTCGATGAATCTCTTAATTTCATCTTGTCATGGATACTTCATATGGAACAAATAGCAGCAGTCTATTCAGTGGCATAGATACCACAATAATGCATAAATCAATTACAAAATTCTCTTTTCATGAATTCATCAACTAAAGATATATAAGGCATGTTTTTTTTTTCTAAATTCAAAATTTTAATTGAAATTGATCATAATCAAGCAAATAATTTTAAATATGAGGAAGTTGAAAACAACTTTTATGAGGATAAGGCAATGAAAATAAAATGATAAAGCAAAAATAAATAAATAATAATTTAACAAACACTATAACTAAAGCATCATAAATATTTTTTATTAATGTTCTTGAACATTCATTATTTAATGGTCTTTCCTAAAACAAGTTTTGTAGAAAACTATAAACCCTAGAATTACCTACAAAAAAAAAAAAACTTTATTTAAGGTTTTATATTCATGATGTAATGTCAAATTCATTAAATTTTGATCTTACCATGCATTAAATTAATTATGTTGATAGTTCCATGTTACTCAAATCTTAATATGGAACATGTATAATTATTTAAGTCTTGTTTACACCCAAAAAATGTATTATATATGTATGATCATTAAAGTGAGAAATTTGTAAAATTAAGAAAATATTATAATATGCACTTTTTTTTTCTTTGAAACTTCAAATGATTAATTATATTGACTTTAAAATTTTAAGTCTAGTATATTAACATTTTTATGAGCCAACAGTATGCAATATTTATGTTGTGAAATTCAACTTAAGCCTAATATAGGTTATAGCAACTCAAATATTCATATTAAGTCATAGATCATATGTTATATTTGAATTTTAATGAGTGCAAGGGATATGACACTTGTGAGACTTAGACCATATATTTATATTAAATCCCTAGAGAATTTAATGAACAAGAATTATGGATCTTATAGAATAAAGGTTAGCACTTATATCTATTCTCACGAAGTGGATCATTTATGGATAAGAGAATATTCTTATTGGTTAACATATAAAATTTAACTATACACTATGTATAGGGCCCAAATACACTTTTACTCTTTCTACATTATTCTGATTTATAAGAAGATTTTTGTTTCACTAAATTTGATACATTCACTTGTATCGTGGTGTACGTTTTATTTCCAAGTTCATATCACAACTATTTCCTCATCACCAAATCTACTATTACTATCTCATGCGAGATGAAAAGTTTTTTGCTCGAGTGAGGATATATAATCCTTTTCGTGATCATTAACAAATTTTAAGAAGCTATAATTATGTCCTCATGTGGTGACTCATTTGATAATATTGAATACATTGAAGCCAATGATGATCATTTAGGAATCATTTTGAATACTAGTGTAAGTTGTTTGCACTTAACAGTTTCTTCATCTTTTTTTTTTCTTTTGTCATAAAATTTATTTGGATGAGATCTATGTGTTCATTCTCCATTTTGAACTTATGTTGAGAATTGTAATGTTTGTCATTGGGTTAAACTGCTTTATATTAATTACTCTGAAGCTCGCCTAGACCTCTTCTCTTGAACTTTTTTTTGTTTTTAGCACCTTTTTATCACCATGCCAACGATCATCATGTAACCACTATCTTACACCACGACATAGATTTTTACCATCATATTGCTTTCATCTCCCTATTTTAAATGGATTTATCACAGCAAAAATTACCTTTTTTATTTTCTTTATCATGCAAATGGAAACCTACTCAAGTCCTTAAGAGTTCTTAGAATCTCCTCAAGAACCACATCACCATGGATTCTCCTTCCATCTGCATCAATTGACAACTTCCCTCTCCCTCTTCTGTTTTTTGTTCATCACTTGCAAAAGTCTATAACTGGTAATCCCATTTTTTGTAATATTTGTACTTTGTGAATGAAATATTTTGATTTTTTTTCCAAAAAAAAATTAAATTTCTCTGCGTTCCTTTTATCTCTAGCAAATGATTTCTTAAGCGAGTGAGTGCAAAATCCTTATAAAATGACGTCTAAGGAAAAAGATATATATATATAAAGGACCGCACATGGATGCCATCCTCACTTTATGCACATATTGCTTTATCAGCCATGTCAACTCTTCAGCAATTAGAATTTTTATTAGGTTGTTACTTTCACTTTGTAGTCTTAAATATAGAAATCTTGCTAAAGTCTGTACAATATATCAACAAATTTGAAACATATTGCTTGAGATAAACCACAAAATTGATCCTTACAATATTAACTCTTTATCTTTTGATCCCTCGCCTTACTTACTTTGTCTCACAAACTCTCTGTAAATTTGTAGTCTATAACAAAGTAAATAAATAAAGACAACCTTCAAAATTTAATTAGATTGCAAGCTAGATCTATTATTAATTATCGAGAGGTCCTGAAAATCTGTGGACTCACACATCAATTCATTTTCATATGATATGCTGAAGAAAGCCTTACATTTGGAGTATACATTTATAAATTTTATATTGTATTAATGAATAAAAAAAATAATTAAAGATGGGACCAAGCCAGCCATGCTTGGTCTAGTTTCTTACAGTCATGAATAATTATTTTGCTGAGATTTCATCCATGCTAGCTGTGCTGTGATGGCAAGAAGTGGTGTAACCATCAATGCACATGCATAATAATAAACATGCATATGTCTACCTCAGTTAATAAGCACATGATACTGTCCATCTTACTATCAAGTAATTAATAGTTATTATGTACTGATGATGATAATGATGATGGTAACATTACTATTTACCAAGCAAGCATCCATGATCGTTATTACACACAGATTCTAAGGGAACCCATTTTCTTCATCCGTCCTCATGAATCTATGAAAGTGGCCATAAATTGTTTCCTTTTAAGGGGGCTCACATGGCCGTCAAAATTTATAAAAAAATTTATCTCAAATTTTAGCCCTTCCTTATTCTGCAATTGTCTATTGGTCTCGGCAAACTTTGTAGACTATCCTGTTTACAGCTATGAAACATGTAAATAAATTAAAAAAATGTTAAAGAGATGAGAAAAAATGGAAATTCACATGTGATGCATTTAAGTCTCATCTGCACATTTCCAAGACTTTGTCAGTTGAAATTCGTTATTTTTCTTTTTTCTAACTCTCTAGGCTGATCCTTCTTCTTTGAAGGGATTCAAATTCTGCTCTGTAAAGTTACCCTTTTTAACTTTATTTAATATACTCTATCTAAAAATCAATTCAAAATTTCATAAAAAATGTTTTAATTATATATTTATATTTTTTTATAAGAACAAGCATTCCCTGCAGAAAATTAATTTAAGATCCTTTTGGTTAATGAGGATGAGCTAAGGAGACATAACTCATATGCATATGGTACATAAATAAAAGCTCATAAAAGGCCATCTGAAATTAGGCAAGATCTGATTCAAATAATTGAAAATAATGTAACATAGATAGAGATTAATCTCAATAAAAAACTAAAAATTTCATAAATGTGCGACAGTTGAGGGCCACATCGTTTGGTCACTGTTACGCATCTTGTTCTAATACTTGAGTTAATTTCACAAACATATAATCTTTTAAGAATCATCACCAAATGTTTTTACATATTTTATTATGGAAAAATAAGGACACCATAAATATAAAAAAAATATTCTCCAAAACATACTTCACAACTATGCCTATGATAAATTCTATAACTTGGCTTATTTTATTCTAAGATTTATGGATTTTTCTCAGTGGTATTGAAATCATACAAGCCATTGTTGATGTTGATTGATAAAATTATAGAAATTCCGTCCTTCAATAGGCTCCAAAAATGCTTTCATATCAGCAAGTTTATATCCCTGTCCAATTCACTGAAATAAATCATAAGAGAAACAGAAACCAAATATGATTATGTAAGAGCTGCAGTAGAAGCAATTTATGACATTTATCACAACAATAAAAGCAACATCGGCTGGTTTCTTGCCATTCTTTAACCCAAAAAAAATGGAAAAAAACACCAATATGTTTGTAGATCTGCATAACTAATTTACAATTACTTTTAAATCTCCTCCCTCTACTTAGAGAGAGATTACTATATGAGTACTCATATTTTTTCTTTTCGCTGCACAGACAGAACTTCTTATGTGTGATCTGAGCAGAGAAAAAGATTGGAGAAGAACTCAGCTAATAATCTCTCCTACTGAGATCATCTTACCTCTTTCATCAGTATTGCAGAACCATATAAGCAAATTAAAAACCACTCCTAAGGTTATTCTGATTAATTAAAATAGCTCAGTTCCCTCAAGAGCCATATCAAGCATATTGCTCTCATTTCCTCCCACATAATTCTCATCAAACAGCCATGTCTCAAACAGTGAGAAGTGTAACTCTGGCTCCAAGCTCGGCTTACTTTCCACCTGGAACAAACTGCAGCTCTCAGGTGACACTATATTGCCTCTCTTGTTATCACCAAACCTTCCGGTTTTATCCTCGCTGGACGTTGAATTGGCGGTGCCTGAGATTTGAGTGGACTCAGCCGAGTTGGCTCGATCTGAGTCTGATGAGGACTTTTGAGCTGGTTTCCTAATCCAATTCTGGAGCAGCTTTGATATGTTCTCAGTGCTGGATGCATAGGTTGGTGGTGGTGGCTGACAGCTGTTGGAGCTGTGGCTGCTACAGGAAGGCTTTGATTCATACAAGAAGCTTGGTTTTTCCATGGATAAGGCCTCTTGCAAGGCTTGTTTGGCCATGTTGATGTCTGTTTGCAACCTTCTCTCCCATTGTCCCTTGGTGATTATTGGCTGGTACTTTGAGAAGCGGGCGCCTTTTTTGATGGAGGACTCACCGTCTGTTTCTGCGTCCATTTCCATCTTAATCAGCTTCTTCTTCAGATGTGTGTTCCAGTAATTCTTGATATCATTGTCTGTTCTCTCTGGGAGATAAGAAGCTATGGCTGCCCATCTGCATAAGTATATTCTTTCAAATTAGCATGTTCATGTTACAGTTTTTTTTTTAATAAAAATCGAGCCTTTATGCCAAAATTAAAAAAAAAAATTGTAATTACTGTAATGTTTAAGGCAAGTATGGAGAAAGTTGTTGATAAAATGATGACCTATTGCCTAAGAGAGCTTGGAGATGGATTATAAGCTTCTCCTCTTGATCAGTAAAACTGCCGCGCTTGATTCCTGGCCTGAGGTAATTGGTCCATCTGAGTCTGCAGCTCTTGCTGCATCTTGACAGTCCTGAATGGGTCATTATTCAAAATTTTTAGAAGAAAATCGAAATTGGCAATATTAATACTGTAAGAAAGTGAAAAGATAAGACGAACTACTTCAACTTAAAAGAGAATTTTTTTTTTGTTTGAAAATGATGGAATAATCTCGCTTCTGTTTCTCAAATGAATCGAAGAAAAAAAGTAAGGAATTAAAGTGAAGATCGGACCTGTGTTAGTTGGAACAGATCTCCAGTTGCCAGGGCCGTGTTCTTGGATATAGGAGACCAGGATTATGTCTTCTTCAGGAGTCCATGGCCCTTTCTTCACTCCTATTTTGTCACAGCATGGTGGTCTCCCCATTGAAAAAATTAGAGTCCCCTTTGGCTCTTTTGTTAACCAAAACAGAACAGAACAAGAGATGGAAAGGATAAAAGAAAAAAAAACAGAGAAGGACCCCAGGTTTAGTTTCTCCTCATATATATTTATATATATATACAAGGAGACGTGCTGACCTGAAGGCAAGAGAGAGAGAGAGAGAGAGAGAGAGCTCTGATCTTGTTTCTCAATTCATACAGAGCACAGAGAAAGAGAGAAAGGAGTCAAAAGAGACAGCGAGGTGCATTTACTCCTGGGCACTCAAAAGTCAGCCTCTCTCTCTCTCTCTCTATATCTTAACAAGGCTCTACCAAGGTTCTAATCACTCACCGAGTTTCTCTCTCTAGATCTCTGGAATAAGAAGAAGACGCGTGCAATGAATGAAGCAGAGGATGGGTAAAAGTGAGAAACCATGGCCATAGGCCCATAGCTCTGAAGGGGGGAAGAAGCGGGAAGAGGGCTGCTTTTGTATCTTAATAGTATGTGTCCAGATTTCCAAGGTGAACCAGGGCGGCGTTTGCTTTGGCTTCCCTACTTTTTTAACTGTTCTCCTCTTTGAAGTCTTCTCCGGCTTTTCCCTCCCTCCCTAATTTTGAATTAATTTTTTATTTTACGAAATTTAGTGTACGTAAGAATAAATGATATGTATCTTAATATTTTATCATTTTATTATAAAGTTATAGTACCTTTTTGACATTTTTTTGTATCATCTATAAATAAAATATATAATTTACTATTACTAAAATATAATAAAAAGAAGAAAATTTTACATACCTAGCTACTAACTAGCAATTCTTATATGATAAAATAACAATAAAAAATTAATCAATAAAAAAATTTGTTAAAATATCAATAAAAAATCATAAATAAACAATTATTCCTCAAGAAAAAGATGGAAAGTAGAAAGAGATAAGATATTTAAAAGGCACAAGTCTTATATGATGATTGATGCGTGCTAGAAAATTTGTGGTGGTAAGGTAATAGATTATCGTCTTAGTGTTTCAAGATAATTCAACGCACACTTAGGTAAAGGAAAATAACTATTAATGACATCATAAGTTTTTTACGCGAAAAGTCATTAAAGTGAAAAACCATGAGGTCTGACCTAAATATAAAAAGCAACTATATGTTGATGATTACAGAGACCTCTTGTCCCATAGACGGAAAAGTATTACTAAGTTTTCTAAGTTACAATGTCGACTGACTGCTTCTGGTCAGTGGTAGCCGACAGTGATTGGTGGTATCGAGGTGGCCAGCAGTCGACGAAGATCGGTGGTGGTTGACGGCGACATTAATATTTGACAGCGATTGGTGGTTGGCGACAGCGATCGGCAGTGGTCAACAGTTGCCAACAACATCGACGGTGGCAGGGGTGGTGCTGGACTTCAGCTCATTCTCAAGGCTTTAAGTTCTCTCTTAAATCTTCAACCCTCTCTTATGAGAGGGGTGAAACTTTATTTATAGTGTTCTTTGTGCAATAAATGCAAAAAATTTGAACCACTTTGATCGGACGGTCCAAAGGGCGTCCTTAGATCAGATGGTGTTTGATGAACATTTGAGTGCCTGAATGATGTTATAATTGAGCAATATTAGACTCATTGGATTTGTCTTGTTGAGACTCTTGATTTGATTATAGGCTTGCAAGATTTGACATTCGATTAAACTTTTAAATATATCTGAAAAACTTCCAAGAGTGGTTTTCTGACTTTATCTGAGCTTGATTTGACTCGGATTGGACTAATATGGGTAACATTGGGTTCTTATTGTCGAGTCGGTCAGTTTAACTGTAAGTTTGTTGAAATCAGAGTTATGGATGAGTTTTTATTGATGTTTGAATATTTCTTGCTAAAAAAATCATCTCGAGATATATGTCATGCCTCAAGATTTGTGTTAGATGATGGATATTTGTTGAAGATGTATCAATGATATATACCAATAATCACTACTTGCAACCATTGTCGCTTGATTACTTTTATCTTCACTATTATCTTCTCACCACCATTATTATATCATCATCCTAATTATAATTTCCTAAACCCTCCTAAAAGAATATTGTTGTTAAATTATTATTGATTGATTACCATCACCCAACCACTATAATTCAATTGTCGTAATCTGGTTACTACCTTTTGCCATCTTCATCACCTTTCACTTCTTTGCTAAGATTCTCCATCACAATCTTATGAGATCAAATTAGTATTTTAAACTATATAATCTCATCTCCTATAATTTAGAGAAATATAAAACTTGTATAATCTTGTTGACATACTAAATTATTTTATATGATCCATGCCCTTTGATTTCTTCCCTCGTATTGTTGAGTTTATCACATAAATACTATAGTGGCTACCTCAATATAACTTTTTTCCTTTAACTGTTTTTAGTAAATTTTATATAAAGCTTAGATGTAAAATTCTCACTTAATTGTAATGAAAATTCTAGTATATAATAAATTGGTGCCATAAGTGAGAACAATATATGTAAGCAACGTCAATGCTTCTCTAATGGTTGACAAACTAATTTTAAATTAATTACAAGAATTATAAATATATTTTTCTAATTTTTAATTTTTTGCTCTAATTTATGCTGTTTCTAGCACAAATATAAATTCATTATCGTTCAAGTTGATATTATCAATACTTATGATGAATCTTCTTGATGCGTGCTAGAAAATTCGTGGCGGTAAAGTAATAAATTATCGTCTTAAAATTACACGAGAATTTAACACACACAGATAAAAGAAGAGAAGTAAGTAAAATGAAACACTTCGACTTTTTACATTGAAAACCCTTGGAATGAGGAAAAACCACGGGGTATAACCCAGTTGAAATAATCCAATAAAAATGATGAATACACATGTTCATTCTTTCTCCAAAATTAGAGATGGTGGAATTGCAAAGTTGTATAATAATAATCTGGTTGCAGTTCTAGGTAACAGCAGGTTGCAAGGGTCATTGTTAATTGTTATAGAGGTAATAGTCCGTCGTGAGTGTTGTAGATGGTTCTTCAGGAGCGTTGATTGGCCAGAGAAACAGTAGTAAGCAATTGCGGGAGTTGTGAACCATATAGGTCATAGTTACGAGTATGAATGACATTCTTAGGTTGCGGGGGCCGGCGAGAACAATCAGGCGAGAAGCCCACGAGCATAGATTTGAGCCTGAAGTGAATGGAATTGAAGTTGTTCGTTCATGAAAAGGGCCATCTTGCAATTATTGTTATAAGTATTTGTAGATTTCTGGCCCAGTTTTATTTATATGCCATAAGAAAACTAAGTAAAAGATGAATAAAAGAAGTAGATAAATATTTATGTTCAAATGTAGCCATGACTTTCACATCCCATAACTACATAAACTACTTAACACAGACATCTCTGCACTTAGATCGTCTTCCAGCCGTTCGATTGAATCTCTACAAGTGGGATTTAATCAAGAATGCCTCGAAAAAATCCCAATCGTCAGAAATAATCCGACGGCTGAGCAGAGTACAGAACCCTAAACCCATGGCCGTGCATATATATCACCTAAATTAGGATTTGAATTTTATGGAAAACATTTCTGCGAGCTGGTGGCTAATTAAGAGAGCTTAGCTGTATTTTTCTTTTTATTTTTTTCTTTTTAATTTCAACGACATGGGACATTAAAAAAATATTTATATCTTATCATGCGCGCATCAATAAAAAATATAGCACGAATTAGTTCAAGAAAATAATTTAAGAATTTATTTAAGCTATATATGCTTGGTCTACATTCGGCAGCACTGCTGCTTCAGTCCATATACATGTTCAACTTGCTCAATTTTATTACTATTATTACTATATATTATTATTATTATTATTGGCACTTGCCACTTCTAATTATTTCTGACATTTTTTTTTTAATATTCTTCTTTTCTTATTTATAAAATTTAAAATTGACGATTAAATTTTTAAGAAATTGAATTATGTAGTCGTGCTTTTATGTGATAAAGTGGGCAAGAATCCACCTCATCGATATAAGTTGCCAAAAAAATTGGATTTTCTCACCGTATGCATTGACATTGTAATTATAATGTTTATTAAACAAAGAAAGTTCATATTAATTTGAAGTCTAATTTAGTTCAAAGATCACTAATTTGTTGAAGATCGATTCGAATTTTAGATTGGACCGAACCAAGCTATGAGCTGAAACATTGGATCAGATTTTTTTCGAACCGATTTCAAGCCATATATAGAAATTTAACTCTAATTGGCTCGATATTAGGTCGTATTATGTTTTTTTTTTATATATATAACAAGATAGAAATGTAATGTTAAGTGAAATTGAATTTCACTATTCACGAGCCAATTTCGAGCCGAGTTTGGGCTGGAACGGATCCAAATAACTCAATTTGAGTCGATTAGTTTTAATTTTGAGCCTTATCGAGCCGATTCCAAGCTGAAATAGATCCAAATGACTCAATTTGAGCTAGCTCGTTTTCATTTAGAGCGGG